ACCCCCCTCCCCCCCCCCCCCCCCCCGCCCCCCCCCCCCCCCGCGCCGCCCCCCCCCCCCCCCCCCCCCCCCCCCCCCCCCCCGCCCCCCCCCGCCCCCGCGTTGCAATTAACGAGGACGGGCTGTTCAGATCTGCTTTCTTTTCTTTGACAATGATACCTCTGATCTGCTTCCTGTACCAGAACATGTGGTGGACCATTGCCTGCTTGGAGGTTCCTTAGTGTGCTAGCCAGCTATATACCCGCTTCAGATATATTGGACGCAGAAAGCCCTGGGTGAATAGAGGTTTTACCCATCTCTAAACATATAAGTTTGCTATTTTTGTCTTGTTTACTTGACATGATCTAGATATGGTGAAGAAATAGGGGGTAAATTTTTGTGTGTATTAGGTTCGGGTTTTCCTTAGATGTCACTACAGCACATCTATATCCATCCATGCTGACGCCGCACATGATATACTCCTATCCTAGGTACCTATGCAATCTCGACGAAGACGTATCCTCTATTCCGTTTCATCTCATTATAGCTCATTCTTCCTAACTGATGTGAACCTAACCCTCATAGACCAACCCAACCTGATATCATGCTTTAGGCACTTACCGGAGCCTTGCGCCCCTATTTATTTGTTCTATTGCTATCTAGCCAACACATCCCATACCCCAAAATATTCACACCTATCACTACGTCAAAGGCTCTTCGACCTGAGACCAGGCCTCTTCGTCGATCTCATCGCTGTCATCGGATTCATATCCGTCGCTATCGTCTCTATCCAAGGTAGCCGTTGACCCTGTCGTGCTCGCTGCGGGTGTGAACGAGACGCGGCTGTCTGATACAGATGCAGATGTACCGTCGTGGACGGTGCTCGGACCTATATTCGACGGCACGGCGTTTACGGACCGTCCGGCGGTTAAGGTGGCGGTGCTGACTTCGCTAGGCGTCTTGTCGGATTGGCAGATGCTCGAAGTATCTGTCGCCACTGTATTACCCGTGCAGTAGGCTGGACCGGGGCCGATTGGGCCCAAGTCAGCGTCTGGGACGGTGGATTGAAAAACGCCGCCGCTCCCGTCGTTAAGTCCGCCGGCCCAAAGGGGGAGATACTGGAACTCGTCTTCCGACAGCGCTAGGACGATGTGTTCCGTTCTAGTGAGCGGTACTTCCAATTCGGAGTTTGTCCAGGTAATCCATAAGTTTGTCACGGCAGCGTGAAGCTCGATGCGAAAGTTCTCCAGGTGAAAACAGTTCGCTGATTTACCATAGCTACCTCCTCCGTCGAGGTAAGGTGTCGCTTCGGTTAGTCTGTCGTTGAAATCGTCCACGTATAGAGCCAGAAATTCGACGGGATAGCACGGCCCCAGGTAGTCGATAGGATACGAAGCCAGATAAACCCAGAACCACGGGGTTAGAAGATGTTGGGCATCGGTAAAATTGCTGGCGATAAGAGAAGTAGGAATTCGTCTTGGATGTTCCACATAACATCGGCGATCGCGATCGTAGGCGCTTTGCTGGTCATACTCGGCTACAGCATGCATTGCCGTCTGTATGATATAATCCTTATATTCTTGTAGCTTTGTGTAAAGGGTAGAGAACGAATCAAGTAGTCTGGTTAGTAGTTTATCGCGTATGGAATCTGTCCTCAAGGTTGACTGGCCGCTGTTAGGGCTTGAGCCGGTAGAAATGGCTGTGCGGATGATGTCGCCGACTTCTGCGAACTGTCGGTATTCCGATATTTTGAGCCCATTATAGAACTGATCTGATCTAAATTTTGCGAGTGTTTGGTGAACACGATCGGCAAGTTTTTGTGCTGCATATTGAACAACAGTCTGTAGATCGTCGGGTAGATCCACACGAGGGCGGCCGAATACTGTATACCGATCTTTTTGAGCCGGGGGTTGAGCAGCGAGAGTATCCAGGGCCTTCTCAACGACGAGGATGCGAAACGCGGCTCGGGTGATACTATCTATTTCCAACGTCCACGCGATTTTAAACGCAACTTCGGCATTGATATCAATAAACTCGGTGTTGGGTTCTGCTAAAAGCCAAGTATACACCGAGTCTCGCTATAATGAGCAAAATTAGTAACATAATATTATAATGTTACATTTCCACTCACAATAACACGTGTGCAGTCTAGTATACTGGCAATACTTGTGAGCGTGTAGACACGGGATGCCGAATTCAAGACCAGATCATAACCCTCTATGGCTAAAAGGAGACGAACGATGTTGACGCGATGACGGATAGGACAATAATCGTCAATAGCTCTAGATTTTATCGTTTTGATGTCAACTAGATCGATTGTTGGAAGACGTTCTCTAAGTCCCAAATTCTGTTGTATGTATGACGTCTTTTTTACACAGTCTATAGGAACTTCGTCGTGATGGGGGCAGTGATCATCGTGCCCTGAAACTAGATATGGTGATATACCAAGTCTCTCCTTTGACGTCCACCAGTCGGTAACGCCAGGAGGTAAAGACAACTCTATGAGCTGGGCAGCTAGGTCGTCTCCCTCGGCCGAAGGGGTGAGATCAATAATGAATCTCTGTGAAACTGTTTCACCGGCAAGTTCCAGTCTCTTCTGGAAGCGGGCTTGTTCCTTGGGCGACAATAAATTTGCGAAGACCTTGGAACCAGTGGCAAGGAGTCTCTCCGAATGGACGCAGAAGCGTTTTGAGGTCCACTGTAACGGAAGTTGATTAGTTACACCGAGAAGAGACCAAGTCCTTCAGACCCCTATTAGATCTATAGACATGAGATGAAATAGTTTTGGTGAAGGCTTAAGCAAATTTGCCACGCTTATGAAGGCGTGGACTACAGGCTCTTAGAGTCTAGACAGTGCTAGAAATTGACCTACCTCTTCCCTGCTACAACTTGAATAGCCTGGAGGGAAATTAACGATAACTAGAGTATCCCCATCGTTACATTCAACGTGAACGTGTAGAAGTCTAGTGAGATCTGACTTCTCTCGAGACTTGAAAACGTAGTTGGCGTCATCTTCGCTGGGTTGGTCTTTTAATAACTGGTCGATTGCCGCATCAAGTAAAGAGCCACGAGGAGCAGGAGTAGGATCTGATGGAGGGGGAAGCTCTTGAGACTCTGCTCTCTGCTGAGCTAGTTGTTGTGAGAGCATGATTACCTACTCGAAGAGCAAGGCTTTAAGCTAGTGATATGGGTAGATAGAGTAAGTTGGGCGCAGTACTTGTTATAATGACAAGAGCTAAAGTAAGGAAAAGTAAGGAAGGTTTACTTAGATGACTACCTCCTAAAGTATTAAGTATAAGGCTGCGGTTGCCTCCTTTGATATTCTGACTGACGACTGCCTGCTTACCTATGTATATGCAAGCTTCCATGCTGCACGCGGGAAACATGGATTATGTATAAGATGTATATGTACATCTAAGCTACATACATATAAGTAGAATTGCAAGTAGCAAACCGTACATATATAAGTACTGCTTACATCTCCAATTGCGCCGCTACAAGTACATAGAAGCCACATACCTTCCTCCTATACCTGGTGTATATCCTTATTGGTCGGTATCGCGCAGGCAAGGCAGGCGATGAAGATCAACCGATAAGCCTTACGGGACAGTGTAAGTGAAACCAAGTCTATACTGTGAGTCTCTATGTACACATAGTATGTATGCACACCTTATGTAAGAGACATGTCCAGATGCCAACTCTCAAATATTATTGAAAATGATATCAATCAAGACGGCCATGTGTTTCCATTGCCAACTAGCTGATTTGTTTTGTTTATACATATACATACCTATATTATTCTGCATTGCAATATTAATCATACACGTAGTTTCAAGTCGACTTAACTATAGGTTTCTGCCTAGCCGGTGGCTTATAATTGTGAGATTTGATAAGTCATCAACATAGCTGCATAGCTCCTAAACAGGTACCTACATAAACCGGTGAGCTAACAACATAACTTACCTACATCGAGTGCTATAACTACCGCGGATCGAAAACAAATGATTAGGTTAACTAGTCAGATCTTGAAAGTTTATCGCCTCTTGGTATTAATGATAAACCCATTCCCCCGCATTCCTCCTACTCAAACAATTTCAACCAATATGCCACCTCCCTGCTCCCCTAATGCCCTAATGCAAGCCTATAAAGTTTACTACATAAGGGCATTAAGCGTATCTTAGCGTACCTCCTAAGCTTTCCGGAAATCCTCCCGATAAGGTGTTTACCCCATCCGCTCGCGTGCCCCTTGTCCCGAACCGGTCAAGCTTTGGGCAAAAAGCGCCGTTTCCAGCTTCGCCAGCTTCCCTTAATTTTTTCGTTTCGTTTCGCACGAGATCGCACCACCGGACCTCATCAGCGTCTGCCCACCCTACCCCCGAAAATCTGGGGAATCTAGAACCCGCTAGCGATCCTTGTATGACATAAAACTGGAGACTATCGTATCAATTAGGGCTCCGTCGGTATGTAGCGGTCAGTAGAAGATGGCTCTAACCTGCATACATAAATCTGCCTGTCTGCCCGGCGATCTTCTTCTAAGTGGCTTCGTTGCTTTTCAGCTCTTGTGATACCTACCTACGTATAAAGCTGTCCTGCTAGCTACCAGTAGAATAAACTAAGGCTTTACCACCCTTATCTAAGAGCTTCAAACTTGAAATACTCTAGTTATAACAAATCTAAAATTATCAAACACCAAGCTTAAGCAATCTCCCAACTCAAACATGGACCGCACCCGAGCAGCCAGAATGACTACCGGAGGACCTCTGTAAGTACACTCATCCCCTAATTAGCAAATACCTGAGAGTCCACCAGACTAACCCCCAACGCCAACTAGGTCCCGACACCCCGGCCTAGCCCTCGCCGCCGTCGCAACAGCCGGCATCGCAGTCGCGGTCCAGTACCGGCGATCCGTTCTGATACGCAACGAGAAGGCCCAGAAGAACTCGCCTGAGAACCCCAACTTCTACGTCAGCGTCGATCGGAGCGGCGGCGGCATCTAAAGCTTTAGGGGACGAAAGTATAATCTTGGGAAACCTAGACCTAAGATATATTTGGAGATGAGCAAGCAACATCATATGAGAATCATAAATGTTTGGAGCAATTGCTCGTACCTTGAACGACATGAGAATGCTGGCTGGGTTAATTGGGAATTTCACGACACAATTAGGATTTATCACGACAAAGGGCTAGACACGCCTCATCGTTAGACGTGTATGCGTACATTATGATTGGGTAACGCAACGGCAGGCGTTTTCTGTTTCTTATTACCCTTAGACATAAAACATAAAATCAAAAAGAATGTTAAACAAATCCAGAAAAGCTTTATGAATAATGGCCAGCTCTGATAAGCTTGTCTTATGCACAATCCACTTCTGCGTAATAATATTACATGTAAGTTGTCATACGGCATGTCACATCGCATGCCAGATCAGACATAGCTGATAGGTATATGCTCTCAACCACCATTCCCACCCCTGGTATCGTCCCAAAAATTCAGGCCTTTTGCTTACCGTTGCCTTCGAAGCCCCAAGGCAAACCAAAACGCCAAAATGCATAATTTGTGAGGCCAACTCGCAGAATAGAAGGGCCCCGGCAGAATCTACCTAGAGCGCCGCTTATACGGAGCTTCCCCTCTTAGGCCATTCCGTCACCGGCTCGCCCTCCAGCTCGCCAGCGCTTGTTGTCCCCGCGACTTCCTTCCCTTTCCCCTTGAACCAATGACTCGTTGGAATAACCGTCTCCAGCCCATCCTTTTGTTCCCTGTTACTCCCTGGTCGACTTCCCTCACTCTTGCTCTTTACCCCTGATGTTCTCTTTCTACTCGATGGCCTTTCGCCACTTGTGCCAGTTCTCCAACCGCCCTCGTCGTCTGAATTCTGTGCCGTGGGCGCTGCACTTCGCGCTCGAATCTCCTTCATAGCATCCGCAAAATTCTCCTCAAGGTTCTTCATCCTGGCCAGAATTAGCCGGCTGATTCTATCTGAATCCTCGCGATCTTGGCTGCTTTGGTTCGGAGCCTTCAGCTGGCCAGTGGCCATAGCCATCTGTGTTGCGAATGACGATGGCACGGCTCCAAATTCATTAGTCGCATCTAACCCTATATCAGAACTAATGCCTCCGTCAACAGACGAAAGGCGTCGGTTTCTCGGGACGGCATTGTGGAGGATAGAGCGATTAGGTGCTGATCTTGCGGGAATCGGTCTCGGCCGAGTTACCGGGGGCGGTCTATTTTGTGTCCTCCGTGGCGAACGTGTGCCGCTTGGTACGGATGACTCTGCCGCTGTGGCTAGTCGGCTGCTTCGCGGGTGGGAGCTCGCACCCAATGGCTCTTCCGAGATCAAGGATGGACTTGTTTCGAAGTGATTAGGTCCCTGTGGAGCGTAAAGGATTGTATTTGTGGAAAGTGTGCGGCTGTGGAGGCCTTGGCGACGAGGTGTACTGCTAGTTCTAGGTGATGTGACGGCCATGCTCTGCTGGTGTGAGGAAGAATCCAAAGATGATGGAACTAATACCTCACGCCTCAAGTCTAGAGAGGACGTAAAATAATCTTCACGTTCTCGTGGACTAGCATTGCTGCCACGGCGGCTCGCGTTTACCATATCATCTTCTTCCTCATCGTTCGTTACGAATTCATCGTCACCATCTGCTTCCGTCTGGTCCCTATATCGTGCCTGTTGTTCATCAATTTGACCGTTGAGTTCCCTGACATTAGAGCCAGGAAAGCCGCTATTCGACACAAGGTCGGCAGGGTCACTTGCAGCCGATCGAATGTCGGAGACGTGCCTGGACCTCTTAGGAAAATCACGGCTCATGCTCATTCGTCGTTGAGAAGGGCTCCGACGACTGTCAATCGTAGGCCAATGAGAGAGACGCTCACCAATCTCGTCATTTTGTTCCATCCAATTGCGGATAGCTGTCTGCGTCTTCCTCCTTTCTTGTCTTCTCTGGCTCCTTATTGTGCCAGTATCAGGAAGTCGACGGAAGACCTCTTCCAGAGCACGGTCTTTTTGAAACCCAGCAATCGATTCCTCACGTGTCTTCATGCTTGGGCTAAAAAGGGCCGTTCCCCTACTAGCAAGGTCGGTGAATGATATTCCTCTTGTCTTACGGCGCCCTTGATGCTCGACCAGATCCGTTGGCTCATAAATCGACGGGGCGAGAAAGTATTTTTCATAAATGAATATGCAAAATAGAAGAGGAAAATGGGTCAATTTAATGACCGTGCGGTTCAAAATCACAAACTGCCTTATAGACATTACGTATCGTAATGGCGTCAAGATCCAAGCGAGGATATTGCTTGGCGCAACGTAAGAGAACATTGCATCGTTCTTGACCATGGATATGGTGTTGATCGCGAACAAGAACCTAGGCGGGTGTAAGTAAAACTAAAAATTAGGCCGGAAACGATCACGTACTGGTGCTCCTCATTCGCATTCGATACAATGGCCGTGAAGGAGTTTGTAAGTACGGTAATTAATATTGTACTATCCCGTGTTAGAATCGTACGGCTTCTGCGCTAAGGACGGACTTACACGACGAGGAAATGGCATATAATGAGAAAGGCTGCTAATAGCGTCTTGCCTAAGAAAGTATACTCCGGCCATCTAAAAATCTTGGTTAGCTAATATTATCTCGAAGAACCCGGGGTGCTTCTGGACGTACACATCCCACGCAGCTGGCGTGAACCCCATGAGAATCTGGAAGATCTTGTAAGCAACCTCTGGTGCGGCATTTTGGTTGCTAGAGAGTGTAAAGAACACGAAGAACCCGGAACAACTGATTAGGACAAGAACGAAGACAGCCGCAAGATCCACCGCCATGAGCCGAAAGGCAATCAGAAGCTGAGAAAAGTATCGATAGTGATCTAACACACTGAAGATACGTGGCAACAAGAGTATGGCGTTCGCTGCCAGAACATCATATGCCATCTCATTCCAACGATAGGGGTCAACGACAAACACAGCATATACTCTCAAACAGTAATATATGATGAGCAGCAGTAGAATGCCGAGATCGAAAATATTCCAGAAGCTCATGATATACAAGGAAAACCCTTGCTCGTTGAAACCAACAACTTCATCAAGCATGAAACCCGCACTCCAAAACCAGAAAACCAGTTCTAGTTCAGTAATTCGACTAGAGCGTTCTATCAGAACTGCTAAAAATAGACATATCAGGGCAAATAAGGAGCATGTTGATAGAAACTGTCTATAGCGAGGAACGCGGAGGCGAGATAACTTCAAAGGAGAAGCTTGGCGTGGGTCGTACAGATTTACCGTTCGTCGTACAGGTATTTGATGTAGCGGTAATTGAGACAGTTGTTCTTTAGCAACTTGGTGGCCGAGGAGCGGTGTTCGAACTCCCGCTGGGCCGTTTTGGACATTTTCACTTGGACTTGGAGGCTTGGACATAATCCGATGAAGGTTGTCTTGGGACGAATAGAAGCTAATAGCACCATTCCAAATGGCCTCGAGTTGTTGA